TTTCCAGTGTGACACTTGCAACGCTTGATGGATGTATTTGACCCCGGATTCTGACTGCATTCCGAGCTAAATTTACTGCCTTTCATACCAGTTTAATTTCCTTTAATTATTACATCAAAATTTCATGATATTTAATATTTAAAACCAACTTTATTTCACAGTCGCTTTAGTTTTCACTTTTCTAAAATTATTTTACAGATCCAAAGACTTTTCACTCCCATCATGCAATCTCCCATAGTACTTCCGCAGACACAGTGGCGATCGCCAACATATCTACAAATAACCTCGCTCTCAGGAGCTGAGGAAATATAGTGAACGATTAATCAAAATATATGACGTGTTCAGTACTTAGTGTGATTGGATGTATGTGTGAAGGCCACGCCTTAGAGTCTTTATACTGCTTTGTAATTGGTTAAGGTTTTGAAAGTGAATAAAGGAGTTTTAGTTGGTCTTTGCGAGAACACCACAAGAGACGCTGTCTTGGGCCAGCCTTGCGATAGTCTGATCGACTAAAGACGAGAGTTGATACGTATTTCGTTGTGTGCGTCTATTTGACTGTAGAGCTTAAGTGACTTTCCTTGTCCAGTACCTCAAGCAGATGAGATATATAGACCAGACGATATTTCCCCTGACACGTGTTGGAGACCCCCCCCCCAGAGAAGAATTTCCCCCTCATAGCATTGCAAAGTTGCCACTACTAAATACAATTATCAAATTCATTTAATATATGCTTATAATGTTTACCCTAAACAAGCAAGTTGTTGAACAATACTGCAACGGCGTGTGAACCAAATATAAGTATGTGACGTAATTGATAACAAATCACCTAAGCCCTATGCTGCTTAAAGGTTGTCCAAAGGTCATATAGCAAGTGGGGTACATCTCTAACCAACAACTTGTCCTTATCTCTGTTTTAACTAGTATTCATACTCTGTTGTTGGGTTGCAAATTCACAATTTTCAATTTTAATTCTCTCAAATGTTCCGAAACACATGTATATTCAACTCATCGAAACCATTTCCGGACCACCTGTGAAATATATTGAGAAACAGTCTGGTTTCCGTCACATATAATGAAATGACCCAGTTCTATGCAAAGCATACTGTATGAGATTAGATCGATTTTTGTTGATGAATATTTTAGTATTTGTGGGTCATCTGTGTGTAATGAACATAGATTTGATAGTGATAACAATGGCCTATTGTGTTTCAGTATTTTTTGCATTTGCATAATTCTAAAATATGGCTGACTATACACTACACGCATGCGCAGAGATAACAATTGCAGCTTCACGGTTTACTAGTTTTACATCTATAACATATTCTAAGTGGCAGATATATTGAGCAAGCAATGAAATATATAACAGCTTATGTTATACGATATCATAGACTCATCATTTATTTGTCTTGAACAGAACTGCCTTCATGTTAAATAACAGATTGGTGACGGTGGCGTGTTGTGTGTGGTAAAGAGTATAACTAACCGAACGGGGCGCTGTTTCATCTACACCTCGGCACCATATATGTATGACGTCAGATATATGTTAATGAGCCTCACACACGTGAAAACTTTGATGTCATCGTCTCAATACGTATTTTTGAACACTAAAACAATAACTTTTCAAAATTGCAAAACCGCATTGTACGAAAAATTAAACTGAAACCGATGAGTAACAAATAGTTCGGCTAAAATGTAGGAAATGAAGATTTTCCGGTTGTATTTGTTGCAGATTTACCTTCATATGCATGTACAAACGTTCAAATTATGCGGTGTCTTCTACCCACGTGCATCTGAGGATTGTATTGGACACTGTCATCAGACATGCGCATGTGCACATTTAACTGTTCAGTTATTTTTCTTATCTTGGATCATCATGATGGGCGCGAAGTACGTACAGCACACGTACTATGCGTTATATGCGGTTTATTCAAAGGTCATATGGTTGTGATGCAATAAACCTGACTCACAAGTCGTTACTGTTTACTAGCTTGCCTGTTTACGAGTACCTGGACTTTATCATTTCTTTTATCAAAATCTGTTCGCCATCTGCCTCCACGTGCACAGTCGCAGTTACGACGATAGTATAGTAATCAAAACAATAGCATGAAAGTATATCAATATTTTATATTGTTCGAATAGATTGATTGTTGCTATACAAGGTCACATGTGAAAATATGCGATCAGCGACCTAATTTGTGAGATTTGCGTAATATATACTTTACGCGGAATGTGGAGTAATATACAATGAACTTTATGGGGGAAAAGTAAAATATTGCCGGTTCAATTAGAAAATAGTGTTAGTAATTGTATTTTCACAAAATTAAATCTGGGTGTGACCCAGTTTGAGTAGCACATACATGGCGATAGAACGTAAAATCTTCTGCGCGTCCTCAACGACGTAGGCGAAAGGGAAATAATATGGAATAAGATAGTAGAATACGGAAAACTTGTAAAATATGTGGTGGTTTTACAAGCACTGCATAATCCTGATATTTTACCCAAACTTGTTTAAATAAAAAAAAAACTTTCTTTCCAATGACAGCCATTTTAGATTACAAAAATAAATAAATAAATAAATAAATAAATAAATAAATAAATAAATAAATAAATAAATAAATAAATAAATAAATAAATAAATAAATAAATAAATAAATAAATAAATAAATAAATAAATAAATAAATAAATAAATAAATAAATAAATAAATCACAGGTAAGACATCAATAAAACAAACGAAACAAGTACAGCAACATTATGATGTAAAAAAAACTAGCACAAAACTAGGTAAATAAAAAATAATCGCACTGAAGTTCTGGTACCCCGAGATTATAATTGTCAATCCCTAATATGGTAAAATCCTACGACTGCGCACAAAAGATAGTTACAGTCAATGAATGAAATACCTTCAAAGCCGATCAAGTATATATAGTCGACATCAGCAACAATTTTCCCCAGGACATTCAACCTTAAATATCAGTAGCACACTATGAAACTGTTCTTTATTGCCATCACATGGAACTGATCGTTATTGCCATCACATGAAATATACATAACACATTTTAACACGTGTTGATATCAAGCACAGAACGCGCCAAATAAAAATACACGCACGAGTGGCACGCTGATAAGTACCTCAGTTATTGTCTTGCATCTCAGTTGACGCAATATAAGTGGGCACAAATCGAAAACACTTTTATAGTTATTTTCAGCACGTTCTGCCTCACAGAGTAAGAACATAGAACGTACATTTGAATCAATATGCTCGAATACCGATACATACTACAGTCTCAATCACATTATATCAGTCTCCCATGGGGTAATTCTTTATCAAATTACATTATATAACATGCCTCTATAGAACCGTCTCACGACTTTTTTTGTCACAAGTTTTTTTCCGCATGCTGGTCAAAACACGCATGCACTATTTTACCTTGAACCTAGATACCGTTGCGTGTTGACTGATATCTCACACAGAAAACCACGTGATTTATATGCAAGGTCGCGTGATTTTGTACCATATAACCTTATATCACAAAGTGTTCGATCGTTATACGACACACATTTGTGATTTTACTTATGCTTAAAATAACTTTACATCAGTGAGTCAATGGTTTGACGTGTAGCAGTATATCTCAGCGCTAGATGATATCACTTGCGTTAAAATTTGCACTAAATCTCAGACAATTTATTAGTCGTCTGAGACTAAATCAAAGTCAGTAAATGGTTTCGCGCCATTTAAAAAATCCCTTTGCTACATGCTATTAAATTTATAACACACTGCTGCATGGTTTCATGTCCGGTTGAACTCGTATTATATCTCAGTGTTCTATGGTATCTTGTCTTAAATTCTCAAAAAAACATCGCATTAAAGTCCTGAGTGGTTTCACTTCCGTAACAAATCCTCTTACACCACTTGTCCATCAATGGTTTCCCTTCCATTTCAACTCGCATTATATCGCACTGCTCTACGCTTTCGCGTCATTTTCAAATCACCTTATATGCAGTTCTCTGTATTTTACGTCCGTTTCAACTAATTCAATATATATCCCAGTCTTCCACGTCTGTACCATATATCACAGTTCTCAATGTATAAAATAATACTAAATTCTCCGATGTATTTTCGTCTCTATCAAATCATACAATGTAAAAGTCATCCATTGCTTGGCGTCTGTATCACGTATCAACATTTGGCAGCCATATACATGATATATCTAGCCCTCAAATACCAGCAAACGATTACACTGTTTTTGCCTTCCGTAACAGCAGCATTTACTAAAAAGGTTCTTTCGATTTGTCCTTCAAACTGTCGATACGTAAACATTTAAGCACTGGAACGGGAAGTAGCCAATAAAATACTTTAATATAGCATTGAGGTTTATTCAGCTTTTGGTGACGTCACATTATTAGAGCAAACAAAGCACAGACGATTCTCAACGTCTACGACATAGGACAAGCTCTGATCAACGTTTACATAGTAGGGAATGAGGTTTAATAAAACATGCATGGTTTGAACTGGAAAACCGTCTGCGTCACTATTCACTCAACTCTATGGATATGCTGCTTTGCTTGCTTAGACACGACATCTGTTGTTTCCACTTACCCACGAGAAATACCAATGGTTATCAAAGTATTCAGCAGTACAGAATGTGCTCTGCTCTGTCTACATGTTACTGACTGCAAAGGTTATTTGTACAACCGTAGGACTGGTGACTGTGATCTTTCAGATGTTTTTTCCGTGTCATTATCTGAAGCAGGGTTGTGGATTCGACCACGTCCATCGCAGGTTTGTGTTTTAGCCTTGTATCTGATATTATTAACGTTTCACGTTATCTAAATCTGTTAATAAGTAGGCGAGACATTTTGGTTCCAGTATAAATGTTGGATAATTGGCATACAACGGAATACATACCAATATGAATACTAAACTACTGTTTCTTGTAATACAACGAAATAATACAGCAAAAGAAAAACAAATTTTTGTTTGAGAATTTCCCAAGTACAAAAAAATAAAAGGAACTGAAGGTAGTAGTGCAGTGCATTTTAGTGTAGTGTAGTGCAGTGCAGTGCAGTGTAGTGTAGTGTAGTGTAGTGTAGTGTAGTGTAGTGTAGTGTAGTGTAGTGTAGTGTAGTGTAGTGTAGTGTAGTGTAGTGTAGTGTGGTGTAGTGTAGTGCAGTGCTGTGCTGTGCAGTGCAGTGTAGTGTAGTGGGAATAATTTATTTTCGGAATTTGAAAACAAATGTTCGTCCATACGTTTGTCTGATCATATCTGTCTAATGTATTGTGTAGCAGTTGCATGTTTATTTCAAATTCTCGAATGCACAATTCTGAAAAATGACCTTGTTGGTATAAAAACGCGTATTCAACGCGACTCAGGATATATTGATTTATTTGTATTTGGTTTGTACTTTTTCAGGATTACATGGCTTGGTTTCCGAACGATCATTGTGTCTCGTCGCCGTGTGAAAATGGCGGAACGTGCCAGCTTAGCTGTAACCACGGAGATGGATTCATATGCAAATGCCGCGCTTTGTGGACAGGAATACTTTGCGAAACTCGCATTCCTTACGGTAAATTTAATTCACATCAATTTTATGTTTTGTGTGTTCTATTATTACAATGTAGTATATTCACGTTAAAACATTAAGCAGCTACATCCTTGGTTAACTAAAAAGGGTACGTCATAGCGGTGTCTGGAAAACTGTCAGTGACATTAAGTCACACCCAATAATCGTCTCCGTACGTGATATAATGAAAGGTTTGACACAATAGACCTTTTGCGTGTTTCTGCGTAACGAGGTATTTTTTCTGAATACCTCGCAGTTATCCGTAATTTTGTCGTTCTTGTTAGTAGCTTGTTTTATAAAAAGGCTAAGATAATTCACAAATTTGATATAACAAAGTTTTCACAAGTAAAACTTCAACACTTATATAGTACCGCAAACTCCTGAAAATGTGCATCCACTTTGTATAAATTTCGGTAAATATGAGTCGTTGCGAGGCCAGTCAAATTCGCACTGTAGACGAGCCAGTAGATTTACAGTAGATGTAATTGTACGTATGACCGGCACTTTAAATCGGGGGAGTCGTCACCTACGCATGCGTCAGATGACCATAGCTTGTCATTGTTTACAAACACGCGTCTATCCATGAGCCTTTGCGTTTTTAGCGTTTGTTGTTATCGTCACGCTTGGGACTCAATTCCTGCGCGTGCGCAGATGACGACCCTCCCGCTTTAAACCCGCGAATCGTCTTTGATGAGGCGCGTTGATTACTAATATCCACTTGAACTAAAGTGGTGGTTATCTAACGTGATCAGTAAATCTGCGCACACATGACTTCGAACGCAATTCAAGACTTCTGCCTTGACATTGTATTGACGAGCAAGGAGATCGCCTCCCAGATTAATTTATCCAACTTCATAACTTTCATTTCAAATGCAATTCAGGGGAGAATGAAGGATGTTCTTTTATAGGGGTACACGTTTAAAATGGCGTTATACTCGCATTGCATTGTGGTATATATATATATATTTATATATGTATAAGTAACCACAAGGCTAGAGGGCCTCAGTGTCCTTCTTAATCCGCCACTGCAATCATGCTAATCCACGTAACAAATAAAGAAATGCCAGAGCTATGGTTAAGCTATAATCTGGCGGAGTGATTTTTTTGTTATGTTGATTAAAAAAGCAGTGCAATAACTTTAAGTCATATCTAAGCATTTGTGTAATGCACTCTGGCATGATGAGGATTAGTCGTACTTTCTCTCAGAATAGTGCTTTAACACGCGTGTTTCACGTATTAACCAAGTAGCGTGTCGTATCTGCATCGATATATGTAACATTTAATTTTAGTACAACAATTATAATTTATAATATCGTTCACGCCCTCTGTTGGTATTTTGAAACATTATTCAAATTCAGTCTTGTTCAGTCCCTGTGCTAATTTGTGTTACACCATTCAAATTTACAGTCGTGTTGATGATTGTAGCACTATTCAAATGTACAGCCTCGTTCAGTTCCTGTGTTGATTTTTTTAACATCATCCAAATTTACAGTTGTGTTCAGTCCATGTGTTGATATTTATAATATAATTCGTATATGATTGTAACACCATCCAAATTTACAATCGTGTTTTCTTTCTGTGTTGATACTCGTGATACCATCCAAATTTACAGCCTCGTTCAGTCCCTGTGTTGATTTTTTTAACATCATCCAAATTCACAGTCGTGCTTAATCCCTGTGTTGATGATTGTAGCACCATTAAAGTGAGACTATTGCTTCCTCCCTTTGTCGATATTTGTAACATAATTTAAATATTTAGTCGTGTTCTGTTTGTATTACTCAGAGTGAAACGCGTTTGACACGTGGTCTCCAATAAACAATATCGTTTTCAAAATTTATATCTGGAACACCATTTGTCTTATTCATAGAATATTTCTATGGTGTCGCAACTGTCGATCTTGACGACAAACTATCGGAGATGGAGTGCCCAATTGGTATGACTTTAATAACATGCGAATGTGACGTCAAGCAGTGTGACGGAGCGAGTTTCATGAATACGGGTACATGTGTTGCACAGAACGACAACAATAACTGGAATAATGATATATCTACAAGGGTAGGTATCTATGAGTGTTAGCTTATCTCAATGTATTATTGTGTATTATTATACATCTGTCACCGTAACGCCATAAGTTACAGCGTGCCGTAATTTTGCGGTATTTCAGGGGGTATTTTCATCCTACCATATTAGGAAATACGAATTCCAAATATGGAATGATTACGCACGTAAGCGTCTTCTAATAATAAAAACAACCATGGCTGTCACCAGAGTTTGACCGGACTCCGCAAAAAACAAATTCGCTGATTTTGTTCTAAATTTTTTGGATTTCGATGATGTATTCTTGAAAGGAAAAGATATATAATAACAAGAGAACTGGTGATGGTTGTGAACCATAACTGCCTCAGCACAAAGACTGTTATGTAATACAAGGAAATGTAAAAGGAAATGTATTTTAATGGTACCTCTGTTACTGAAGCACATAATTTGCATGATTTTTTTCCCCGGCCATTCACGCAAACTGCAAATCAAATCATATCAAACTGCCGGTCACTGGTTGCATAGTGGTTGTCGCATCAGACTCATGATCGGTAGACTCGAGTTCAAATCCTACCTTAGGCTGAACATCAAAGGGTCGACCCCTACCCTGGGTGAGTGTGCCACAGACTCAATGGGAAGGCCAATTCCACTGGCCGAGATTCATTCACTAACGAATGCGACTTTGGGGGAACCTTGGTTAAGGTCCGCAGGTGCTTGTGTTCGACCGGGCCTGGTTGACGCCAGGATAGCGCATTAAAATTGCCATTTGACAGAGAGATGGCCACACAGCCCTGTCATGTAGTTCCAAACAGGAAATGACTTCTGTGGCAAAATGCACTATGTGTCAGCACTAGCACTTGCAATTAGCACTTACAAAAAAAATCAGGAGAGACAACAGTGACATTCAATGTTCGGAACTGTCGCCTGGCACAAAAACATTTAAAAACAAAACAAAAACAAACTGCAAATCAAGTCTTTTACCGCATCCATAGTTGTTGACAATTTGTACGTAGCTGCAATGACGTATTTTGACTCCCGGATTCTGACCTTGCATTCTAGCTACATTTAATGCCCTTTCATACAAGTTCAATTTCCTTTTAATCGTTTCATCCAGATTCCATGATATTTAATATTTAAAACCAACTTTATTTCACAGTCACTCTAGTTTTATCTTTCTAAAATTATTTTACTGATCAAAAGACTTTTCACTCCCATCATGTAATCTCCCATAGTACATTGTACTTCGGCAGACACAGCGGCGAGCGCCAACATAACTACAAATAACCTCGCTCTCAGGAGCTGAGGAATAAGGTTATTACGAGAATACCTCAAAGTATGTACTAAGACAGTACGCCGCGCATCGACCTCTGCTGCGCGTTGGCAGACACAGTAGAGTTTATGTTTTAAAATACCAAATAGGTATTATCAGTGATGTATCTGTTTACCGAAATTGTATATTACCAGTATAGCGATTTCGCACATGTTAACACGATCGTCACGTGTCTGCACATGTTTGATGCTATTGCTTGGTTCATTTTTTTGTCACCTAGTGTGTGTGTTCAACATTTGTGTACGCGAGTTCTACGAGTGGAAATTCAAACCTGGAGTAGACGCCCAGGCTTTCTCTTGAATGCAATTTATGGCACCAAATGTGGAGACTCCGATGCACTAACGTATTAATAATAAGAAACAAATGATCATCAATCAATTGTTATGTTTTGCTACTAGCATACACGGATGGATACATGATTTCCAAACAGAATGTCCCAGGAATTTGAATAAAAAAAAATAAATATTCATACTGCATTTACTAGCACAACAAAATGATTGGGACTTTTTATATCTTTATAATTAACCACGTTGTTAGAGCAGTGTGTACATATGTATATTACGGATATTGGAAATAACTACGCGTTTCAATGTTTTTATACACGATTGGTATATGGCAAATATTTAAAGTACCATGAAGAACATCACAAGTGAGCTATCTCTGGTCGTTATTACTACGTTTCTGTAGTTCCGTTGCAAGGTATTAAGCAAACAAAGTGTGTCTTGGATTTGGTAAAAATGAACTAATATACTAATAAAGCAATATCAGATTTCTTCCACCCAGCAACACCTTCAATCATGAAAACAAACAATATGCTGCTGTTCGGTCTGTTTTAGCCTGTTCCGTCATTCAATCTGCGAGCAATTAAAGTCGTTCATGTTGTCTTCAAGCTCCGGCTTCTTGAATATGTACAAATTGACATGTTTAGTAATTTACCGTGAATATTTTATTTTTAACCACAAACCTTAAAAAAAAACGGGACATGCAACCACTAGGATCCCTTTTATATAAGCTTATAATCATTTACCCAAGTCACCCATGGGAAGAACAGACAACGTCAGCCAAACATGTCTACCAGAATGAAGCTACACAAAATTTGTCAACTTTGTGGTTAGAATATAATCAGAATTATCTCATTTTATCGAAACTGAATGGCTTAGTCACATTTATTAATACCTGTTTTCAAGGAATACACGCATACACTCCACTCATTTGAGAAAAAATAACATTTTCACACAATTCACACACAGAGCTAACTAAAAATATTTAACATGTAGGTGTTCAAATGCCATCTCTACTGTGAAATACAGGTTTAAATATAAGCGCCCACGAACCTGGGTATCATTCGTAACATAAATTGCGATGGTTGTTTTTTCTACAATAAAACAAAACTGAATCATCAGATTTATAAGCGATATAGCCTAGTTTATCTAATCTCAGACTAGTCTGAGATCAAATATACTGCGAAAAGTGTGAATAATGGCACAGCATAACTTATCAAATATCCAAATTAAACCATCGTAGAATGGTAACAACTAAAACTGTCTTCAGATGTTAACAGTTATATGCATTAAAGGGGTTAACTGTACTACGTTAGATTTTCTTTACTCTGACAGCAGTTGCATGTCCCTGTTTTCTGTGGTCTATGGTACGATGGTACAATCCTACAACACTAGGTTAATATGGTATATTTTTATGATATTCATTTATTGCCTCAAATAGTATTTTAAAGTAGCAGTTATTATATTAAATCACTACAGCAGCTGTCATCAAGATATTTATTTAATACTTTTGTGAATTATTCCTTACGTATATGCGTAGTTTCATAAAGCCCAATGCCACTATGTGAATATTCGTTAGGACTATTAACAAAAATGACGTCATATCACAAACGATTACATGCATCTCGTTATAACTAGATAGTTTGTATTATTTGACATGCAAAGTTGTATGCAGGATTTATATTTATCACTAATTTTAATTCTATCTTTTATACATTCACGACTTGTCGTCTTGTTATCTTGTCGCTGTGAGAAAATTCGTTTGGATAATTCCCAAAATGACGTCATAATACGAGGGATTACATGCATCTCGTTATACCTAGATAGTTCGTATTTTTTCAAAAGACCAAGGAATACCATAGTTGTTATGAATGTGTACATTTTAATGATACTTTAAGGTAGCGGGACTATTATTTGCTTACTTGTTTTCATCTTCTAATTGTGACCAAATGACTACAAATAGACCCAGGAAAGTATATATTTTTAGAATCGCCAGACTTCAAGCTTTGCAAAGGTGTGTTTGCCATGCCCGTATCTGCATTCTATGACCCGTTACTTAATCAAAGGTGAAAAATTACTTTTTCTGTAAAAAAAATAATTACGCATTTATGCTGGCGATAAGAAGTATTTTTTTCACTTTTCCTAGTTGTTCAATAGTCTGGTAAATTGAATGTGTCTGGTTAGTTTTATTCAAGCAACGCATTTTAAAAAATAGTGTGCTGAATTTCAATTACTGGTTTAGTCGCATTGCCCCTTACTCAAACCACAACTCGTTGGTAAATAATCGATGAAATAGTTTGTCTGGACACATTCAAGTTCCTCTCACTGTCACCTTAAAGCTGTGAAAATTTGGTGTTAATCCGATG